CAAGGCTGCAGAATATCGGAGGGCTAGAAGGCGAGGCGAAGCCACAACAGAGAAACACGCCTTGCGGAAAGCTACACGGGCAGCTAAGAAGGAATTTTGGATGAAAAAGGTAGAAGAGGCTCGCCAACCTAAGGATATCTTCAAAATCACTAGTTGGCATAAATATAATGGATCTTTCGGCTCACCCCCTATAAAACACAACGGAAGTACGTTCACAGACCCTAGCGGTAAAGCATCTGCTCTCAGTCGGGCTCTACTAGAAAGGAGATCGAATGAGGAGGATATTAGCCTAGAGCTAGAACCAACAGTCACCAAGGATGAACTGCACATAGACGCACTAGTCGAATTAGATGAGATTGAGCAGTGTGTACTCTTCGCGGGCAACACCGCCCCAGGGATCGACGGCATCACTACTCAAATATTACGGGCCTGTTGGGACAGCATCAAATATGCGGTACTTCTACTTTTTCGTCGGTGCTTAAGCCAAGGCCACCACCCTAGTGCATTTTGCAGAGCAGAAGTTATCTTTCTTCCAAAACCAAATAAGAGGGATCTCAGCTCACCAAAATCATGGCGTCCCATTGCCCTTCTGTCTTGCCTAGGCAAAGGTCTCGAGAGATTGATGGCTAGAAGAATTAGTCACGCGGCCATCACACAAAACGTGTTAAGCCAACAACAATTTGGGGCACTTCCAAAAAGATCAGCCACTGATCTCGTCGGTTGCCTCGTTCACGACATTGAGAAAGCTCGCTCGCAAAGGAAAGTTGCCTCACTACTAACCATGGACATCAAAGGAGCCTTCGATACAGTCCTTCCGGGGCGGCTCATATATAGACTCAGAGAACAAAGATGGCCTAAATGGCTCATAGGCTGGGTGGAATCATTCGTCACCAACAGATCGGCCCGAATTCGCATAGGGGATTTTTTCACCCAAGAGACACCACTGATTTGCGGTCTCCCTCAAGGATCTCCCGTATCACCAATACTCTTTATGCTGTACATCGAACCTTTGATTAGTCTCGCAAACCCAAGATGCGTCTATAGCTATGCAGACGACATTGCTTTCATTCGCACTGGCAAAACTCTGTCAGAATGCTCAGAAAAATTAGCAAAAGATCTTGAAAAGGTTATAGAATGGGGGATAGGTAATGCTATCACTTTCGATCAAGAAAAGAGCGAACTACAACACTTCACACAAGCCCCCAAACCTAAGGAGTACCCAATTGTTCGGATGGGCGACTGGTGCATAGCCCCCAATCAAGTCACTAGATGGCTGGGATTTTGGCTGGATAGGAAGTTATCCTTTTTAACACATGTGAAAAAGTGGGCAGCTAAAGCGTCGTCAGTCGCAATGCACCTGAAACGTCTCAATAATTCTCAGCGAGGGTCTCGCCCGGATTTGGTTAGACAGGCAGTCAAATCGTGTGTCATACCTATTGCCACATATGGAGCAGAAGTCTGGTGGCCAGGGGAAACAGTATACTCATGGAGTAGAGGAATACAGAAGGACCTGAAAAACAGAAGCAACTCACACCTATCGCTTCTCTCCAAGTCTGTTAAACTAGGGTTGAGATCAATTCTGCCAGTATTCAAAACTACACCGCTACCAATTCTTTATCGAGAAGCTGGTATCCCCCCAGTCAACCTTATCCTCGAGGAGACTCGTTTACGGCAAGCACTTCGGATTCAAACGTTGGACGACAAACACCCTCTGAAGAAAAGAGCACTCGGTAAGGCCTTCACCCGCCTCACTAGAACGACAAAACTGTTGCCACTTTCAGTTGACGGAAAAGATGTTCCTCTCGTCGGGAAGAAACGGAAGTTTGACGCAAACGTTCCCCGCAGAATTCACGATATACATCTCTTTACAGACGGTTCGCGTACTGCTGACGGAAAGGCGGGGGGCGGATTTGTCATTTTCCAAGGAGGGAGAAAAGTTAAGACCGGGAGCTTCGGCATAGACCGCAAGGTCGAACCTATCGACACGGAAATAACTGCCATTTGCCAAGGTCTCTCTGCCTGTATACAATTTACCAACACACGATTCGCCACTAATATATTAGTGCACACAGACAACAGAACAGCCGTCGGAATTGTGAATGGAAATTCTTCTTTGACGTGCCGAAAAGAAACTAAGTTAATTCGAGAAGCACAGGAGAACTGGAATAGGCGTGAAAAACTCGCTCATGTCTCAAATGGTTTTATTTTTGCGGAGTGGGTTCCCGGTCACATGGGTGTCCCGGCAAATGAAGAAGCAGACTCTCTGGCGAAAGCTGGAGCTCTTAGGGTACAGCCGGCCGTACTTGAGAACAACCCATCCTTTGCGGCAGTCAAAAGTCATGTTTTGGATATGAGGAAACAACTCTTAGATTCTTGGTGGGACATTCACGGCCCTGCAAGATATAAAGACCTAGACATACAGGCAGGAGTACCTGGAAAATGCCCAGCCACGCTACGGATTCCCAGGAAAGCACTCCACCACCTTCTTTCGGCCCGTTCAGGGCACGGAGACTTTGAGAATTACCATGAGAGATTTAACCATACCAGCTACTCACCGTGCATTTGTGGGCGAGCAAAGTCCCCTATTCATTTTTTTTTCTGCCGCTTGAAAAGAGCGACAGTAAGAAGATATACTGGAAAACTTAGAACTCAAGAGGCAATAAATTGGCTATTAGGCACAGAGGAAGGGGCGGTGGCATACTCTAGTATCATAAATGGAATGTAGTCTCCTCTGGGGAAATAAATGTAGGGACCGAAGTATTGCATAAGATTGCGATACTGGACTGGATTGTAATTAGTGCAGAACTGCTAGAAAATTTCGCTGCGGGCTTAGCTCGACAGCGCGTCCTTCGCCCCTAGGGAGGTTTTTGGAGACTATCGGAAGATAGTTTCGCCGCGGACGTTAAATGCTAAAATAAAATAAATAAATAAATAACAAGCTTTCCATGTGGCTACAAATCGTAAAACCCCAAGCACATGATTATGTCCCGCCCTCGTTGGTCAAATGGGAGAGATATTTGGAGACGAGCCAAAGATCGATCCTACGAAGCCATGATAAACAATCCTGGAGACCTCAAAAGTATATCATCGTGGATCCAAAGCCATGGTTGCATAGAACAATTCCAAATGACAGAGGCAGTCGAAATGCTGCTGAGGGAAAGGAACAGGTCAAGCCGTACTTGAGGTTGATAAGGCTGGGGCGATGGTTAACATAGAGGGCTCTATACTGTAGCTACGCTTCCTGAAGCATACATTAGAAAAACATAGACAATGGACGGGAAGGTTTGGGGGTTTTGACCAAAAGGCATCCTCCCATGTAAATTAGAAAGTAAATTAGAAAGTATAATAGACACCTGCATGGGCACTTTCCGCGCCAAATCAGGATAATTAAATCAAAATCAAATATACCCTCTATTAAAGATCAACTCCACTCTCTTTATCCACAAAACTCTAGCCTTAAATTGAAGCCCTTGACTGCGCCTAGAATAGTTGTGACGACTTCGTACGTGATCCGGGGGGAAGGCATGTATAAATCCCGTTAAATCACGTGTTATTGCTTTTGTATCCAGATGATCTTCCATCAACCAGCTTATCTTTGGCTAGTTAATGATGTGGTGAAGCTCTACACTCGACACCCGTCATGCTCTAACGATGCTGGTTAGAGGGATCAGCTCATAGTGTGTAAAAATTGTGAGGCTGAGCGTAGGAATGAAAGATAAGCTGAAATCTCAGGCAGATGACAAGCGATGAATGATAAGCCTCAAGACGAATAAACTGAGTATCGGCGTAGAAAATTCCAATAGAAAAAATTATTTTATGAACCATGGATGATAATGTGCGGGGTAAGGCAATTCTAAGAGAGCTGTGGAGCACGTTATTGTAGTCCACAATCTACCTAGGACTTATCTGAGAACTAATAGCCCCTAGCCAAACTCCACTTGACACGTAATGCCTTCAGTATTAGAATTTTCGCGATAACACACTGAAATATATTTACAGAAGGTTAGAATGTTGGTATGACAAAAGTCATACACTAAAAGTCAATTAGTTCACTTAAAGTAGTGAGAGTTACCTTGTACATAGTTTGAACTGCCGTTCGGAAGAAATGGACATTCGTGGTCACGCTATTTTAATGCTATGGACTTGCTATCTACCTTATAGTCGGATAAAGCTCTATCCGAATATCAGAATCCAAAAATCAAGAATAACTCAACACGAGGCAAGAACCGTCGGCTCCAAATAAATCCAGCTAGACAAACCACCCCCCACTTGGGGCTTTCTAGGGATTCTAGTTTCAATTGAACATGCCGAACATTGCCGATTAAGGCCTTGCAAGAATTACCCTTTCCCAAACAGTGCTTCAGTCGGATAGAAGAAACGGCAGTGTATTACCCTACCAGCTGATAAGCTCGTAGTCATGTCAATCATTGTCCCTGTATAGCGAAACGAAGAATTGAGCCCCCGCGCACCAGGCGATGGTCGATAAGCAAGTGCTTTGAGGTGATCTTAGTACGGATTACTATCCAAGCAAAAATTCCTTAATCGCAACCTCAACTTTACTGCCAATCATGAGTGGATCAGATAGCAACAGGTGAGCTCACAGCGATAAGGAACGTACGGCTGTCCAGAGAATGACGTCCAGTTTGCTTTGGTAGGTCGCGACTACAGCCTGTCTTAATCAGATTCTGCGACGAATAAATTTTCGGTTGTGCTTGGCCGTAAGAAATTTCCTTGGTGTTCCGGCCCGGAGATTCGACTTTTCCCGGTTGGTCCTTATCAATGATCCGCCAAGCTGGAAAGTTTCTTCCTGTCTGAAAATAGAGGCGGTAGTACAACGGCTTCCGATAGACCCAAGCCTGCTGCTTGTCTGTCAGCTCCTTCATCGGATTAAATAATCCCACCGCCATCGACATATGTGCCCTGCTATAGACATCTAATTTTTCTCGCATTGCAGGCTCTTCATTTGCCTTATTGATTCACATTATCAATTGCAGAGCAATATGAAGCCCTATCATACCATGCTACGTCAGCTGCGAACACAGTCAGCTCGACCAAAGCAGTCCTTTTTGAAAGTAGCATTTACTACCCAACCGACAAGGTGCTACAGCTTTTCGGCAGAATCTGCTTTGCATCCAACTATTCCGAAAATTGATGTCTCAAAGCTAACGGTCGAAAAAAATACGAATCCTAACCCTCTTCCACCTCACAATGAATTGGTTTTCGGTCACGTTTTCACTGGTATAATATTCTGACCTGCCCAACGCATCTCTCAGAGCTAACAGATTGTGATAGATCACATGCTCTCTATCGAGTGGAACGAAGAGACAGGCTGGCTCTCGCCACGCATAACTCCCTACCAAAAATTACAGATAGACCCTGCGGCCTGTGTACTTCACTACGCATCGGAATGTTTCGAAGGCATGAAAGCCTATCGAGATAGTTCTAATCGGATCAGGCTCTTTCGACCTACCATGAACATGGCGCGGATGAATCGCTCGACTGCTCGAATTGCCCTTCCGGCCTTCGAATCGGCACAGATGATTGAATTAATTTCTAAACTGGTCATGCTCGAGGCGCATAAAATCCCTGATGCTAAAGGATACTCTTTATACCTTCGTCCAACCATGATTGGCACTCACAAAACTTTGGGGGTAGGAAAACCTAAATCTGCCTTATTTTATGTAATTGCTTGTCCCGTCGGTCCATATTACCCCACAGGCTTTAAGGCCATTTCACTAGAAGCCACAAGCTATGCTGTCCGTGCCTGGCCCGGTGGTGCAGGTAATAGAAAGCTCGGTGCCAACTACGCTCCGTGTATCGTGCCCCAAATGGAGGCTGCCAAGCGTGGCTTCCATCAAAACCTCTGGCTTTTTGGCGAAGACGAATACATCACCGAAGCAGGCACAATGAACCTTTTTGTGGTATTGAAAGATAAAAAGACGGGTCAGAAGGAAATCTGCACTGCGCCACTTGATGGAACTATACTCGAAGGAATCACTCGTGACTCAATACTCTCCCTCGCTCATGAAAAGCTTGCTCCAAATGGCTGGAAAGTCTCGGAACGAAAGGTTGCTATGCGAGAACTCCACGAGGCTTCAAAGGAGGGGCGACTTCTTGAGGTATTTGGCTCTGGAACAGCTGCGGTGGTATGCCCAGTGCGGACTATTGGCTGGAGAGAACATATTGTCGATTGTGGTCTAAAACAGGATCAGGAAGCTGGAAAGGTGGCCAGCAACATGTTAAAATGGATTAATTCCCGACAGTATGGGGAGGAGGAGCATGAGTGGAGCTACATCATTCCAGGTCAATGATAGCTCATTGATGAAGCTGTGTGCTGGAAAAAGATTGATGCTTATTTAATGATGACCAAGGTCTTGAATAGCGTAGAAGGAACCATAGCTAAAAATGCAGGTAATCAATTTACCGTACAAGATACATCTGTATAGTGACTTAAGTATATGATTGCTTTGTAGCCAGCGATTTTTTATCAGCTAGTTTTGGACTTAAAATAACAAACCCCGCAACCTTCTAATGAAAAAACGTACGGGTGACGCCTCTCTGTGCCCTCATGTAAACGATGGGAGCCAATTAATTCAGATCCCACTGATGTAGCCTGCTGATTACACTTTCATTATGCCTCGCCGCGATTTGGTTGGCTAGACTAGTAGTGATCAAGTTCCATATCATTCCCAACCCCTTCAAGAGGGATAACCGTTACCTTTAATTCCATCTGAGCAGAATACTACAATTTGTCTTCAGGCTCTTTAAGGATCCCCTCTGCCTCTAATCTTCGACGTGCCTCTTCGAGAGCCCAGGTTTGTATCCTAACGCCGGGTTTAGTAGATTGATTTTTACAACGTTTCTCTGGACCAATTTTCAAATCAAGCCCTCTAGAGCTCTCCTAATCTTCTTGAGGCGATTCTGGTCCATTGGACGGTACGGATGAAAAAGATGAGAGGGCAGACTCACGAAGTATCCGGCTGAAAGGCATAGCCAATGACACCAAAAGCCAAGCTTCCAAAAAATCCATAGACCCAAATATCTTCCCAGTCCTCTTTCTTGCGCTTCTCACCGGGCTTCACGCCAAAGAGCCATCCACTGGGCGGATCATACTGAGATTCATGCGAGTGATCCGCCCCCCGAAGTTCCGTGCAGCCAGAGAAGCTGCGAGTAGTCGGGACTTGGCTGTTAGTCGGTCGAGCGTATGGGGTGGTGAGGGTTCGCGCTACTCGTAGAGCTGCGGGTGATCTTGAAAATATTGCCATCGAAATGAGATTCGTGTCTCCTCGGAAAGTCTTTGGCGTGTTCCGAATGTTGAGAGAGACGAATATCAGTGCGTGTTCTCTTGTTGATCCTTGAAGACGATATGGTCTGGAGTTGTTAGATCTAACCTCGATGCAATTAAGCGCTCGCTTAGGGCGCTAGTTTTAGAATCACTTCATAACCTTATGAGAGTGACAATTCTTTCGCGTTACGACTACTGTGAGGTATTCGTTCTCATCCCTTTATCTTTTTATTTTTGTTCATCTTTCTAAGCATGACATACGATGAATGCTGCGTGTACATGTTGAATATCTATCTTAACAACATAGACATTCATATTCTGGATTTCATTTGCAAATACCACTATGAGGTATGTTTGCTAACATAGAACAGTCGACCCTTCTCCCTGAACACTTAAAAAACGGAAGTTTCAAAACCTTTGATTGTCCAAGCATGCCTCTGTTATCCATGTACACCTGTACCGCGAAAAATTTGGCTCAGTTTCCCCGAATTCAAACCAGCGATCTCCTGTCTCAGGTAAGATATGTGTCCAGGCTTTCCAGAATCAACGTAGTAGATCATCTCAGATAATGTGCTGCTGCGCCATACAACCACGGCGCTACTTACAGTGTCGCCTGCATTCATTTATTTCTTTCAATCCGCTTTCATCCCTAAACAATAGTGTTACAGCGTCGTTGACTTATAGCCATAACTTCATGAGATACTTAGAAATTATTTTTGCATGCTGGCAAGAGCGAACTAATTTAATTATTACACTTTAGGGTTCATGGCGTGGTGTGCCTGACCCCATACCCGTTGAGCACAACGCCGTCTGAGCAAATGTCGGACGTTATTTACTGCCATTCAATTATTTCAGAATCACTGTCAGGATTTTTCTAACACATCAGCACGACCTTCGGGAAAGGGTTGAAAGAGGCTAGGAAGGCAGAGTTGAATTTTACGAGGTACCCACAAGTCTGCAGCGCCCAGCTGGCCGGACTCTTCGAACGCTTCAGAAGAATCACTGTGTCTTCGAATCTAGTCCTAATATTGGTACTAGAAGAACTCAGCACCCAGTGGTTTTTTCGAATTTTCCCGGCTGCCATACACCCGCAAATGGCCATCGTTTCGTTGGCTGGAGAGGGGAGATAGTGAAGGGCAAAGGGCTCCTCTTAGTGTATGATCGAGTGAGGACTTGTGAGGGGTGGTACTGTTTGAGGGGAGCTGTATGGGAGGCATAGGAGGGGATATACTACTAGCATAGGTATCCTTGACCTGTAGGCAGAAAGGACCTGCATGTTCTATGTAGTCATAGACTGAGATGGGACAAAAAATTACAATAATCATTTCAGAATATCTAGTTTTTATTTGGTTTCATTTAGCCCGTTCAGGTATATGTAGCTATAATATTTACAAGGGAGGAAACCAATTCGGTAAAAACCCTCCAAAACTGTCTGTCTCCTGTCAATTAGTTTTCTGAGATGCTCTACAGGGACTACTTTTATACTGTACATCCAGTGTGAATGCTGTCCTATCCTTTTCCCGATCGTGTCATCCTTTCACTGACTGCTTTCACAACTTCTTCTCCAAGCCGGAACTGTTCAAGCCAATCGTTACTAAGTTTCCACTCTGTAATTCTCGTCATGTCATCCGGACTGTTCATCATAGCTTCAAAAGACCTATCTTTTGCCTGTCGAAGCACCTCTCCTCTCCCCTTAGCCCACATAGGATACGCCAGGACCATGTGTTTGACGTTTTGTGATGGATATCCACACTGGCGTTTTGGACTTGTGTTGGGATATTGAGAAAGTATAGTCACGAGAGTAAAATAATACGGATGGTAGTATATAATATATGGAGAATGTATAATGTGGTACTGTAAGTATTGACTTATAAAGATGTTTGATGTACTAAGGATGTGGACGCCTCTCACTTGACCAACTACCTGACTAGGCAGAATTTCCTGACAACTTGCCACTCCAGGGACTTTTCTTCTATGTAGACAAGAGTTGAGGCCAATATGCTCACTTCTCATCTGTACTGCAATACTGCTTTGGGCCCTAATCAGGCTTCGGTGGACGTTAGAGGGTGTGTTTCTGTAGGTATGAAAGGATGGCACCATAGTGAGTGGCTATCCGCACGAGTGTATCCAAAATAGGTTTATTTTTTGTCTAAAGAGAAAAACTACATACTTGTGGGATCACCCCCTAGATGTTGTCTCGTTTATCGCTGACATAATCAACTCCTAGGAGCCGGATAAACTCCGGATCCCATCTACAAGGCAATAGCCTGTAACAGTAGGTGATTCTTTTCCTGCCTGTTCTCTTGTCACTGACGATACTTGCTGCTTTCCAATATTTTAGGAATGCCAACGCCTGATGAGAAGAGAGTCGCTCTCGCTTATAAAGTTTCCACGCGCTTTCCCACTCCTAGAATGCTGCTATCTTGCCCGCTTCTCTGTGTCTACGCCTCACCTTTTCGTTCCTGCAGATTTTGGTCCGCTCGTTCGTGTCTCGGCTTTGATTCTTGGCGTGAATATTTTCGCTCTGGCTATAAGCCTGCGATATTTTACTACTTGCGGATAGCATCGTCTGCTTGATAAGTTGTCCTTCCGAAAGTCCGATGTGTTGAATTCTCATTTGTTTGAGGTAGATGTCTAGTGGAAGAATTGAGCATTCGTGATCTAGAGCCCTACGGCTGGAGGAATTTGTTGGAAAATATACTCTGTACGATATTATATGGAAATATATGAAGTTAAGAAGACTTGATATTTTACATCTATGGGAAAATTGGACTTACACATCTAAGGGAGAAATTCCCGCTCGTCTCATGTACCTGTCAAGCCTAGTGATGACCAGCCACCTCTCATCTACTATGATGAGCCAAGGTACACTGTAGTACTTAAATATCCAAACGTATATGTGTTATGGTTATGAGCGATGCGGAAGCTATACTGCGGAGTGATGAGGAATGATGATGTGATTGATGTGGGTGACATTGAATATATTTGTATGATACGATGCTGTAAGGGTATGAACAGAAAGTAAAAGAATAAACCTGTATCCTTTGATTGTGGGTACATCTAAGAGAATATATACACGCTTGCTTAACCATTACACTAGTGACACCATCCTGTGGCCCAAGGCCCTGCGCAATGCCCTAACCCCGACTACCAAGTTATTGCATATCATAACGATATGCGACGGTAGGCGCGATTAGCGCACTTGGAACATGTGTAGAGATAGTCGATCTTGTCGGGAACCTGAGACGAAACAGATAATGGTTGAGACCTAAATTCGAGAGTCAGAATTTTCAACAGAACTGTATGCCCCTGTGACAAGCTTCAAGAATCTTCTATGGATACTTCGCAGTGGTTTGACTATCCTTTGTTGGGAATGGAGACACAGGTTGTTGTGGACGTACGGGCCCTCCATTTCATCTAGGTTCACGACACGATCTTGTATATATTTAAGAGGTTGGAATGGGTAATATGGTAGCGCTTCAGGCTACCTATTGGAGACAGCACCTGGCCCGAATCGAGATAGTAGTTTGAAGAAATCCGATGCAAAGGGTGCTCGGGTGGACTGTAGATGTGTAGGGGTCGTGAGACATATTGTGGCATTCGATGCTCAAGTAGCTAATATTTCCGTTACCATTTGTGAATTCTTCGTCAGATAACCGGTTCCCATGTAGTTAAGATTCCGAATACAGCGGTCAAGCTCACGAACGTTATCATCTTCTTTTGGAAATATCGCGCAATGAAATGAGCGCAATATCTATGGAAAGAAAGTAGAAATTGACTGAAAGAGTGTCAAGTACGGATTACAGCTAAAAGTGTGGGAACTGTGCGCTACAAGAATAAGTGTAAGCGACACGCTGCCAAAGCCACAGCATAAACGAGTGTGGCGCCATCTAGGCATAGAAAACCCCCAATAACCTCCTTGTGCCCAAATGTGAGGTAATCCAATTCAAAAGGGAAAAATCAGGGCGAATCGGTAGGAATACAAGTTGGCGGTAGGCTTGTCCAGCCGGCGGAGTATATTCGCTGGCTTTGAATTCACCTTGATCCGCGTCTGACCTTCAAGCACCATGTAGCGACCTGGTGCGAGAAGGCCCTCAAAGCTGCCCAGCACATACGGCGACTTAACCCACTTCGACGAGGAGCGGCCCGGATGGCAAGACTGAACACCTGCACCGGTGTCCTCTACGAACCTGGGGGTATATATTCTCCCAGAGCCAAGTTCAGTCAAATTTCGCAATACCAAAGAAGTTGGCCCGCGAGGCAATGATTCAGATTACTCCACCACGTCATTTTTTCGCTCCTAACGAGTTTGACTCCTACCTAAGTCACATCAAGTCTACAAGTACATCCTCATTCAAATGATCATACCTCTCGTCGACTTTCTCTGGCCTCAGCCGGTCACCAAATACACGCCCACGCCGATATTTACAACCGACGGGGGAAACAAAGCGTGGCGCACAAATCTAGGTGACTGTTTTTTGAGATGGACGTGAGAGGATTCAGGACAAGTTCACAAGCTGATGCGAAGGATGGATACAGTCTCGACGGGCGTGGAATTTTGAAATTTGGCAAGGAGTTTTTGCAAATTGAGCTTTGTGCGTGCCAAGTCTTCGGTTGCGAGAGTGCAGGCGACACTATAAACACCGCCATGGTTGGATGGTGCGGTGGTACATCGTCTTGGCCGGTCTGCCAAGTAGAGTCTGGATAGCTTGGACACATATCCCACTCGAAACAGTAGATCGCTGGTTCAAATCCGGCAAATTACAACCACTTTTCTCGCGGCGCTGGTATGCAAAGATGACGAAGGCATGCTTGGATAATCAAAGGGTTTGAAATTCCTTTTGGTGGGTACTCACGGATGAGGGTTGACTGTTTGTGTAAGCAAGCATACCTCATAGTGGTTTTTTATTAATTCATTTTATTGTCCTGTCTGAGTCTATGACTATGTAGGACATGCAGGTTCTCTCTGCCTACAGGCCAAGGATACCTATACCAGTAGTATATCCCCTCCTATGCCTCCCATACAGCTCCCCTCAAACAGTACCACCCCTCACAAGTCCTTATTCGATCATACACTAAGAGGAGCCCTTTGCCCTTCACTATCTCCCCTCTCCAGCCAACGAAACGATGGCCATTTGCGGGTGTATGGCAGCCGGGAAAATTCGAAAAAACCACTGGGTGCTGAGCTCTCCTAATACCGACATTAGGACTAACCTCATAGTGGTATTTGTGAATGAAATCCAGAGTGTGAGTGTCTCTAACTTCAAAAGAGCCATCCAACATGTATACATAGCACCGGTCATTTGTCATAACTCTATAGCTGAATATACTTCAACGATTTTTAAAAAAAAAGACTGCACCACATCTATTTCCTGTAATATTAATTATTCTTGGCTCTTAATACAAGATATGTTGGAAATTATGGTATATGCATGACTCTGTCTTACACTCAGCTAGATTGGGTGTCTACTGGTGGTCAAGACATACCTTCACCATGATAACGTCGCCATACTGGGCCATGGGCATATATCCTGGGTTATTTCTAAATTAGTCTCCCTAGGACTAATCCCTGGATATATATGTAGTATTCTTCTCCTTGAGAAATCTTCAGTTCATTACATTTACTGAATACCTCTGAAGGTCTAGTCATACCCTCTTCGTGCCACCCTACCAAGCTTCACCGCAAAGCTCTATTCAACTGCTTCGTTGTCCGGCAGATATCCTTCACTTCCCCACACCATTTCAGCATTCCTCCACGATCCATAACCTCACAATAAAGGTGTCAAGAGCTCGGGCGCGTGGTGGCCGAGGCTGGGGAGGAATTTGCGCTTCGGCGCGCCATGAGGAGGTTCTCTGGATGATTGGGATTGACGTGATTCATCTCGTGGGTGAAGTCTGAGGTGGTCAAGTCATTCAGGTGGGACGAGGTAGATGTACTTAATGGTTGTTCATCTGATACAGCCCGGCCCCACCCGTGCTTAAGCTCCAGTAGGAGTGCAACGGTAGTCACTTAACCTAGCATGTTAATGAACAAACCAAACCAAACTGTTGTGATTAAGGTATGAGTAGGTATGAAATGTTGAATAGTCTAGGGATAGTAGAGAGGGTGGATAACAATTATCAGAGCTTGATGATATGATAAATTGCTTAGTTATAATCATCTACATATTGCGGTGGTAGATAGGACATATATACACATATTTGGTACCCGCTAAACAGTTCATTACCGTCTATATAGGAAGTACTACAATCTTAATTATATGCCATACTATCCCACATTACGCTATGCCACTGTGTAGAGCTACGCCCCAATGGTCGATCGTAATAATGGCCATGTAGGGCTGTGCAGTACTCGCAAAGATGTGTTGTATTCCTAGCACTTTGCAGAGATAAATGTAGAGTAAGTGCAATAATCACATCACAACACAAACCAAATACTAACTGTCAGGTAAATATGTGTTAATCTTTTTTGCCAGAGTTAACCTGGCATCTCAACACACTTTCCATCGTTGGCTTATTTTTAAGGTGTCAGTTGCACCCTCACAATACAAATCTTGGCGCGCACGAAGCTTAATTTGTAAGGCTCCTTGCCAAAATTCGGAATTTCACGCCCTTCGAGGTTATATCCTCCTTCGCATTAGCTTGTCAACTTGTCCAGATCCCTCTCACATCCATCCCAAAGAACCGTCTCCCAGATTTGTGCGCCACGCTTTGTTTACTCCGTCCGGCGTAAATATTGGCGTGGGCGTGTATTTGGCGGTCAACTGAGGCCAGAGAAGGTCAAAGAGAGGTGTGGTCAATGTAACGAGAGTGTACTAGGTCGTACCTGTAGACTTGATGAGACTTAGGTAGGAATCAATTTCGTTAGGAGTGAAAGATTGACGTGGTGGAGCAATTTGAATCATTGCCTTGTGGGCCAACTTGTTCGGTATTGCGAAATTTGACTGAACTTGGCTCTGGGAGAATATTTCACTCCCAGGTTCGTAGAGGAAACCGTGTACAGGTGTTTAGTCTTGCTCTCGACTGTGGTCACTCACTAAGGAAGATTTCTGTATAGGAAAATAGACAGTTCGATACTGTCAAAATTAGATGTTTTTCAGGTACCTGCACAATCTATGTGATGGTGGCGCTAATATAACATCGAGATTGCAATCATGTGGAAATCTGTCCGCCTGTGGTTGCATGCCTTTTGGTCACACCAACTGTCCACCAATTACATAGCTGTTCTTAGAATTCCTCTTTCGTGGGCTAGCCTAATATTACCTAATGACATGTTTACGTCCATGGGTGCCACCAGGTTAGCGTTGGGTTGTTACTCTTGCAACGGCAAGACACCAAGGCGATCTGCTTCCTAAATCAAATCCAGCAAAAATATCAACGCGCTTGTAGTTCCTCCCGAGGCCTTCAGATATATGATTAAACATTTGTTTAGTGTTTCACCGTCAGCTTAACATATTCTGAGTCTAAACGCGTCCCTCCGATCAAATGGTTCCTCGAACGAAGACAAGCGACGCGACAGAATCGAATGCGGTTCCCGAGCCAAAAGCTACCCGCGCTAGGACGTCTAGCAAGAAAAATGCGTTAGAAGTTCCAGCCCTCAAACCACCTAAATCAAAAACAACTGGCGCAAAAAGTAAGAGTGAGGAACCCGATATCTATGAAGCAGTTAGCTCTCCAATATCTACTAAAAGATTTCAGTTTCCAACAAGATAAATGCCTCAAAAAAGCCACTTGAAGTAAAACCTGCCACCACTAAGGCGGCTGTTAAACGGAGGGCTCCTGAAACTGATCATGAAGAGCCTGCCGCGAAAAAGTTCAAACCCTCTTCATCAAAAACTGTTACAGAAAAGTCTACAAAGACAAAAAAAACTATCGTTCCGAAACCACCAATAAAAAAACTACCAGTGAAGAAGAAGATTTCAAGCCCGAAAATTCCTGAAGATCATGTATGTGGCGTCCTCGTCATATACAATCCTTCTAACCATGGCAGGAACAGAAGTTCAGCGATCGAAAGCGACACAAGTCAGTAAAGCCTAGCGCTCCGACGAAGGATGCTCCACATAAAGCAGGGAAGCCAGCTCCTATTATTAATGCACCCCCAACTCAACGCCTTAATGTCTTTGTGTTCGGAGAAGGATCTGCCGGTGAACTTGGTCTTGGTGCAGAAAAAATCGACGGAAAAAGCCCAGTTGATGTCAAAAGACCCCGCCTCAATCCACGCCTTGATGCCAAAGATATTGGTATCGTTCAAATAGCAGCGGGGGGAATGCATTGTGCAGCACTAACATTCGATAACAAAATACTTACATGGGGTGTAAATGATCAAGGCGCACTTGGACGCGAGGCGTCACAGGGAGGAAAGATGAAAGTAATTGCTGAGGGCGCTAACTCAGATTCAGAAACCGATGATGAAGGTTCTGGATTGAATCCTAATGAATCGGAACCGCGCGAGATCGACTGGACTAATATTGAAGAAGATACCAAATTTGCAGCTGTCTTTGCCGGCGATAGTACTACATTCGCTCTCACAATAGAGGGTCGCGTCTATGGATGGGGAACTTTCCGAGTAAGTTAACTTCATAAAACCACTTCTAACGCTGAATTGAAAAGGGGAACGATGGTATCCTTGGATTCCGCCATGATATAAAGATTCAGTACAAACCCATGTTAATCCCAGAGCTTAAAAATATTATTAAAATAGAGTGTGGTACTAACCACGTTCTTGCCCTTGACACTAAAGGAAAAGTCTTTACTTGGGGTGCAGGTGAACAGAATCAACTAGCTCGGCGAGTTGTTTCTCGCAGTGCTACAGGTGCCCTCGTGCCGCGAGAATTTGGCCTCGGGCGATGTCACATTACCCATATAGGATGTGGTGATTATCATAGTTTCGCTATCGATGATATGGACCGTGTCTACTCATGGGGTCTTAATGCCTTTGGACAGACCGGCGTCCCCAAGGACGAGCGCAATGGAGAGGAGGGAAATACCGTACAACTCCCTACTGTTGTTGACTCTTTATCCAAACTTCGTATAAAGCAAATTACTGGCGGTGCTCATCACTCGCTCGCGGTTACTGAGTCTGGCGAACTACTTATCTGGGGTCGCATAGACAATAATCAAGGCGGTATGGAGATCGATGACATGCCACAAGAAAATCTCTACTTTGATGAAAACAGTCGCCCTCGATACGCTCTGAAGCCTATCACCATACCAAATATCAATAGTACCTGGATAGCAACTGGTAATGATACTTGTATTGTTATCGACGCTAAAGGTCGTGCTTACTCGTGGGGCTTTAGCAGCAATTATCAGACTGGTCAAGGTACTGATGAAGATGTTGTAGAAGCTACCTTAATTGATAATACTGCGGTGCGTGGAAAACGACTTACGTATGCAGGTGTAGGCGGACAGTTTGGCATCCTTGCCGGCTTGACAGATGAAAATTCATGAGATTGGTTGTCATTCCAGACAGAAGATGTAAACAGACACCTAGATCAGACGATTAATCTTGTCTTAACCGGAATCATTACCAGTTTGTATTAATATTTAGAGTTTTAATTGGGGATATTGATGTTCTGGGAGGGCAAGCAAGACATAGGAACATATTGGCTAAATTCCACTGCTCTTCTGAACAGTGAGTGCCGGAATGAAATTTGTAATTGGTTAGTAACTTTGGTGAGTCCCAAACTTGTTATTGAATATAAAATAAATAATGTCCCAGTCGCTTCTATTTCTATAGCACTTGTCGAGATAATATTTATTCAGTCCTCTAGTTTTCATTCACGCTCTATCGATTTTACTTTGGTTATGATGTGATCTGCTCTCCCAGTCAGAACCTAGTAACTAGACGCTTGACCGCTCTTTTTCTAAGACGATCCAAGAGTAATATTTTTCAGTAAAAGCCGCTTAGGCTTCCTCCGAAGCTTGCATTAGCACCTATCATTCTTCTCACGCAGGTCACTTCCTCGGTCAAGGGTTTATAGCTAGAATGTGTCCCTTCGCTGCAGTAATTACCATAAACTCTATTTCAACCTTGTTACTCCAAAAGTATATTGAAGAATGCTGGGACGAGAATATTAGATCTTTCACCACATAACCTTTCCGACTTTATAAGACTGTCCCATTCCAAGACCTTATAACATACATAGCTAGGGGAGGGCAAAGGTTGAACATCTATTCTAGGTGTCCACTACGAACTAGAAAGTGAAAAATTATTCCAGAGACAAGTACAGTCAAATTTCACAGTACCTTAGAAGTCGGTCCATGAGGCAATGACCCAAGATATCGTACCTTGTTATTCATTTAATTCCAACGAGACATATTTCTACACTAGCCTCATCAAGTCTACAAGTACGACCAAGTACTCTCTTATTTCAATGACCACACCTCACATCAATTTATTCTCCGGCCTCAGCTGGCAACCAAATACACCCCCACGCCAATATCCGTATCCGACAGAAGGCACGATTCGTGGCGCACAAACCTAGGGAGTATTTCTTTGGGACTGACATGAGAGAAATCGGCACAAGTTAACAAGATGATGCAGAGAATGGATTTAATCCCGACGGTCGTGAGATTTAGAATGTTGGCAAGGACAACTACATTGAATAGTATTGTGCGCGCCAAACCTTCGATTGCGATAGCGCGGATAACTCTATATAAATCGTTATGGCTAAATGATGCACTATAATACCGTCTGTCTTTTTTCTTTTTAAATCAATAGGCCCTAAGCTAAGGCTTTATGTCTACTAGGGTGCAGGACTGGTGGAGCCGGCAAGGCTCCCTGTAATTTTTCCTACAGCATAACTCGTTCCAACCTCGTGAATCGCTGCCAAAGGTGCAGCTAATTAAACAAAAACGAAAAATCACGAAAATCAAAACAACTCCGAAAGACAGGAGATTCCTCCATATTCAACCCAGCCGATGCGCTCCTCACATAATTTATCGTCCGTCCCACCTTACAAATGAAAAATTTACCCAATCTCGGCTGAGAGCAAGAGATGTATTAGCAAGCTCCTTTGATCCAGCCGGAATCCTGCTAATTTTTAGACGATGCCCCTGAAGGAGACATCGTCGAGGTTGCTGTTCCCTCAAGCTTCTTCTTCAGATTTTAGTACACCGAAACCTGTTGCCTCGGCCATTACGACATCCTTCGCCGCGGCGACGATCGCCTCTTCGGCCTTTTTGGCTGCGGCCCTAGCTCGAGCCGCCTCTGTGAACTTCCCTTGCTCGAGGTGGCGTATCCATGCGAGCTGCTCTTTAGTCATCGGTCCGGATTTTTTGGGTCTGACTTGGCAGGCCCGGGAATCCGATCGGTGAGGTCCCTCATAGTAGCGACACTTCATGAGGGCCTTGCACTCTGTCTCCGAGTGCATATTTGATCCGCAGTTCCAGCAGGCTGGAGCGCGGGAGCAACCACAGGTGGCGTGGAAGCTCAAACAGCGTTTGCATTGTTCGATTTGTCGACGGGGCTTGTGAATGGTAGCCATACCAGACTCGTCGAAGAGGCGGAATCCCAGTCGAATAGGGCATGCCACTTGCGATACGACGCCCCAGGCCGGCACGTCCTATGTTGTGGGACCTGAAATGGTATCACGCCGGTTGTAAGGACGATAGCGAGGGAGACCCACTCAGCATCGGTAGCTCTAGGGCCGTGCTCTGTAATTATACTTACAGGTTTGTTCGGTATCTGTAAGGCGACAAGGTCCAAGGATGCTTCGAGTTTTTGTTGAGACCTAATAGATACAATATTATTACGGGTAAATAACGTTCGTGTCACATATTTATCTGACTATTAGTGGTCACCAGTTGGGCAGGAAGTCTGCGTGACATGTTGTGTTGATGAAGATCTATATCACGTGATGGTGGCCTACGGATTTTAAACAAGAGGCAGGAAGACAGATCACTCGCTCCATTTAGGATACGAGAAAAGTACACGAGTAGAAGACGTTAGTGTAGGCTCTATAGAGCTGGATTACTCGTGGACTATGAATGGTGTGTATGTGACAGGAAATGTGTATTCTAATTTTATTAAGTCTTTATTAATATAACAATTGCTATTTCATTCCAACAGTTTTGCGTTAACACCCGCCAGCTCCGAAGAGGCATCCAGAATCTCTTGTCGTATTTTTTCGTTCTTTGCTAACATAGCAAAGCCGGTCTTCACGCGATGAAATGAGGTTATATTATCGTTGAAATAGTGGAATATGGACTCCACATCGGTTCTCACGATACCGGTGGACAATTTTCGCCACGGGTAATCCTTTTCTGGGCGAAGGAACAGTCTTTTGTCTATTTTCGCCTTCGGGGCGTCTTTCTTTGAGGCCTTTGCCGCAGGTTGCGGTACAGCCTTTACTGTAGGGACTGCTCGTTGTTGCAGTCTGTTCTTTGCTACCGTGGCTCAGGTGCTTTTGGCGGGCAGCGCTGTGATGGCGGGTATGATTGGGCTCTTGGCGTCAGGAGCTCTCGGAGGAGGGTTCGCTGAGCAACGAGAAAGGTCGGGTGGCGTAGTGGTCGTGTATTGGGCAATGGTAGCGCGTAGGTAGGCTCTCATGGAGTCTACGAATAGTCTATTTGATTCTTTGGTCAAAGGAAGAAGGGTTGCTTCGACGCCAGAGATGGTGGCGGAACAGAGTGCCAGATTTGCCGCTGTTTCGGCGGCGCGTCGTTCTTAAGCCTCGAGGATCGTTCGAAGTTCCAAAAGTTATTCTGCTTTAGTGGTAGCTTGAGGCTGCGACTATTTCGTTCCAGCTGCTTTCGGTGCAGCTTTCTCCGACGGGTTGGGTTCGGTCGGAGGAAATTTGGACAATTCTCCAATCCCGTGGGGGACGAAGGCTCGTTGACAGATCTCCTCAACAGTTTCAACTGATCCGATCATATCAGTATCGGACTTGTTGACGGTGAGAAGGGCTTTTTCCTTCCCTTTCGAAACGGCCTGACCCATCTCCGCGCATGTCGAAGACTGGGCAAGGCCAGGTATTTTTGCGAGAGCTCTCGGGCGGACTCTCGAGTTGTCCAACATTGCGTTGTGGAGCTTTTAATTGTGATATCATAATATCTGTTAAATTAGTACATGATGTAATGAGAATTCTTTATGATATTGCTCATAGTTCGCTATGTAACAATGAAGTTGGAAGTGGCAACTATTAACTGGGAAGTGGTATGCGCTAGGTGGAGATAAGACGAATCTCAACAATCCTATTTGGGAATACGCATAGTTTGTTGGAAGGATATGATAGAAGCTGGGTCTAAATGTTATGTATATATTGACCTGCTCATATAGGAGAAAATAAAATCATCCGAATTTTACAATACTTTTTTCGAGCAGGTGGCATGATGAAAATGCCAGCGACTCGATCACAATTGATTGATAGAATACGATGAGCGCGAGAGGGAAAGAGAGGGGGAGAATGGAGATATTCAAAAATTCGAATTTCAAAAAATTGTTTTGTTTGTTTGTAATTTTAAGGGCCCAAGCTACTGCTCCAGGTCCGCTTTTAGTACAGGCCTGGTGGAGCCGGAAGGGGTCCCTGTGTTCTTTACCACAGCCCCACTCATTCCAACCGCGTGAAACCACTACCTAAATTGTAGCCGGTTTAAAACAAAACTAACTCTAACAGTAAATATTAATAAACGAAGAAAATTTTAACTTAGCGGTCCAGTATCAGCGCTCCTCACCCCGACTCCTTCCCTTTCATGTTTCCACCATAAATATTATTCTTCGTCCATGCCGAGAGCTGTGGACGAGTTCACAGGTTGGCTTTTGAAGCAGCCGGTTTCCTGCGCAAATGTCGAAAAACTTTTGAGGCATTTGGGCCCCAGAAGAATTTTGAGAAATTGTTGGTATGGGGAGGACCCCCTTAGTCGTCGGGTATGACGATAATATAGTCTGCAATGTATATAATGCGTTGGTGTAGTCTCCTCTCCGCAAGAACACTTCATGTTTGCGTTTGGGTTGTTGAAACGTCTGTGGTACGCGGCGAAATTCCCGTGACCGGTACGAGCCGCGATGACTTCAAATAGAAGTCGTCGTGGAAGTGATAGTTCCGGTGGCTTTTTCCGGCGCATCATCAAGTCTAGTTCGCGGTATCTGGGTGGGCATGATTCGTCCCAGAACTGGTCTAGCAGCATCTGTATCTTCTGATTCATAAGCCGGTAGAGGTATGCACTGCTGATTTTTTGCGGCTCCTCATCTCGGAGGGGGAGACTACGGAGTTTGCTTCGAGCTGCAGCATCTGCTTCTTCGTTCCCTTAAATGCCCATGTGCCTTGGAACCCATTTTACGACGATTCTTTCAGAAGCAGCCTGTGTCATTATCCGAAATATTCGGATATCGTTAATGCTTGTCAAAGTGTCCCCGGACAGCATAGCAGTTCTTGCATACTGGCTGTCGGTCACCGCGTAAATGGGTTGCACCTCTTTTCCTGGGATCTGAGATCCCAGCCCACTTA